TTCCGCACCTCTGGCAGGGGCAACATGTGGGTCAAATACTCTCAGCGTTACCCGGCTCTCTGGGAGAAAGCGAGGCTGCTTCTTCTGGCTTTCCCAACCACATACCTCGTGGAGCAGGGATTCAGCCAGGTCCTCCACATGCAGTCCAAGTACCGCAATCGCTTGAACTTGACGGCCTCAGGTGCACTGCGACTGAAACTAAGTTCTCTGCAACCCGCAGTGAAGAAACTGGCGGAGAACCACCAAGCGCAGGGCTCACACTAACCTTCCCCCCCCCCGCAATTTGGCGAAATGCAACACCTTTCCGACCTGTTAGTTCTTTAGGCCTAATGTACAGTTTTGTAGCCTACTGTTTGTTCTGCACTGGACATGTGTGAAATTGCTGCTGTTCCGTAGCAGTCTGTTTGTATTCTCTGCTCTTGTCTGAGTTTGTTTAACACTCATAAATATCATTTTTATTCACATTCACATGGCTTTTCTGCTCTCTGGTAAACTAATGATAATGATATTCCAACTGCCCAGTTAAATCAAATCTATTATTTGGCATTCAGTGACATGCTTTTTAAATGATATAACACAGAATATTAGTCAACATTAATATTCAGGGAAGAAAATAAGTCTACTTTTTTTTATGGGGGGCGGTAAGAGACCTGGATAATGGACAGGGGGGCGCTGGCCCAAAAAAGGTTGAGAACCCCTGCTCTAGATAATATGCTTACTTTTTGACTTGTGCAGAAAAAAAAGAACTTACCTGTCCATCGAAGGACCTGACCATCCTGCCTCCACTCACAGAGCAGGAGCCCACCCCTTTGGGAGCACAGGAGGAGGAGCCTCCTTTCATAACACACTTCTCATTGGCTGAACAGCCAGATTTAGGATCACACTGCACTTCTCCATCGTCTGTACACACACAACGAGTGTTGCATGCCTTTCCTAGATAGAACACCTGAGCAGAGAGCAGACACATCAGTAGAGGTGAAGGCAGAGGACGCAGCATTGAGAGGGGACATTACATCTGTACCTGTCCACTCAGATAGTACTGTCCCTCGTACTGGCAGCCACACTCTGACAGAGGGACACACTTGTCATCACTCAGCATGAATCCATCGTCACACACACAGCCTTCTGAGCAGGGGGCGCTCCTGTCGCAGCCCTCTGGGGGGGCGAGGCCACTGCAGGTGAGCGGGCAGGGGGGGCCACACTGCTCATAGTGACTGTTGGCACCACATGACGGAGCTGCAGAGACACACAAGGAAAGACAATGTTCCTGAGAAATGCTTGTGTCTTTTATGATCTGAACGTTAGAGGACATTATCGGGACAGGTTAGAAACAAGAGTTAAGTTTGCCTGTACATAAAAAGTGATATTTTTATTTATTTATTTATTAACAACAGAAGGGCCCAGTGACTGCATGCACCACCTTAAACATGCTGTAATTATTGTGGGGTTAGGGTTAGTGAACTCTAAATTCTAAACAAAACATAATGGATGGATGTATAGTCAGTCAGTATGTGTGTGTGTGTGTGTGTGTGTGTGTGTGTGTGTGTGTGTGTGTGTGTGTGTGTGTGTGTGTGTGTGTGTGTGTGTCTTACGACAAAACTGTTGGGTTCTCCAGCTCCCCACTGTTGCTCCCGCCTCTTGACAAGTGGTGCTGAAAGCTGATAGGCTGTTGCACAGCGCCGAGGCGTGGCCTTGGTACAGGCACAGATCGAAAACACACTCTTTGAGGAAGGAGGTGTGGTCCAGTTTACTGTGACACTTTCTGCAGGGGCAGAGACAGAAACACTTTAATAAACAGAGCAATACCCAGTTTGAGGACTGGGCTTTTAAATATCCAATAGCATTTAGTTGTTGGTTTTTAAAACACTAAGCATAAGTATTTATGGTTTCTTGCTTTACCCAGGAGGAGGTCACTTTATAAAGCAGGCACATGCTAGATATTGAATACTGTAGGCCTGGCCATGGAATAGTATTATTCTCTTTTTTTATCTGCAGCCAAATAAAAACTGTTCTTCGTCAGGAAGGGGGACACATTAGATCCTTCTTAACTTGAATTATTCCTCTGGTAGTTTGCATCAGACATAAAGGACTAACTGTATAAATAATTCTAACAGCACAAGGAAAAAGGAAACATGTCTTCAGTGACATTGAGATGAAAAGTCTGAAAAGAACCCGTTCTGTGCTTGGGACTGAAAGATGAGAAACACATTAGCATAAGCAGCTTCAGTTTAACAATGTGCCAGTGTTAATGTCAAAATGGCGTATACACAGTATCATCACTCTGTCACTGCATCTTTCCAGGGAATCATGGATAGTACAATTACCCAAAGGGTCCCTGCTTGTCAGCGATGATGCCGCAGTATTTCTTGTCCTGGTAGCGTAAGATCAGCGCAGGCTCACACTCCGGACATTTCCCATTAGGACAGTCACTGGTGCAGCCAGTATCCCCCCCCACCTGCAGGCAATGACATCACAGCAACAGCGGACATATGCAGAGGTTTTTAAGTGTTAAAGAGTAACGAAAAAGTCATGACAAAGATGTTGACATAAGACGAGAGATTTTTGAGAAGTATTGGCTTGTTGTTAACTAAAACAGGTCCAAATGTAATTGTGTTTCTCTTTCTTTTGTTTGGTAGGCTGTTAGTAACAGGTGGTAAGATTACTGACCACATTTACTGTTGTTCATTAAAGCTTTAGATCTCAGGCAGGAAAACTCAGTATCCTCTTTAACACCTCTTCTTAAAACTCACTTTATCTTCAGCTTTTTGGAAATTATTTTATCAAGTCGTTGCAGCAAATGGTCATGCATCTCCGATTGTTTTTGACTTGGCATAAACAGCATGCTCTTCATTTTAAAGCCTCTTAAGGCCCTGACACACCAAGCAGTCACCAGAGAACTCGCCGACGCTGACGCCGACTCTTGAGTCGGCGTGTTCTCCTGCGTCTTGGCCATGTGTCGCACTGGAACACACCGCAAAGACTTCAGCCGAGCACGTACGAACTGCGCATGCGTGAGTGGCAATAACTCTCCTTACCAGCAGGCGGCAGTAGTGTGTATTCATAATTCAAAAGAGGCAACAACCGGAAGACAGAGAAGAAGAACAGTCTACATGATACAAACAAACAACAAATAGCGTGTGCGTTCCATTCTCACTCTTGTCCATCGAAAACATGTTTCTTTCGGTACTGGAGCTATCAGCCATTGGAGTGTTGCTTGCGGCCGATTCAACATGTTGAATCGGCCGTGCGTCGGCCATGAAAGGCCAAATAAGGCGTGTCACGGCCGACGGTGCCGGACACACCAAATTGAGTTTGGGCGACAGGGTACGCTTCGTCGTCCGGCCGATTTCGGCCTGGTGTGTCCGGGCCTTTAGAGCTGTACTGTTTTGTAGGCTAATACTTTAAGTGTCAATCTATACGTCTACTGCCTGAATCTGCTTTATGGTTTTCCCTTTCTTTGCTTCATTTGTTCTGGTTTTAATTCAACAGGTGACCATATGTTCATAAAATAGTGTGTGGGAACTTAACTGTGTGTATTAAACTAAAACTGAGCATTTTCTGTCTGCTCAGATTTTATTTCTGCATTTTTTAGCTGTAGTATGTGCTCATGTGTTTCAGTGTTGGTGTTTTACTGCCTGAATATGGTTCATGAAAGGCAGGTTTTCATATAAATTAAATCCATTAATATCTTGGTTTCTTCTTTCCTAATTTCACATTGTTATGTTGTCTTACATTATACAATGAAGAAAGAAACATCTTATGATATTTAATTTCTCTTTTATTTATTCGCATTGCATTTGATATTGAGGATATCCAAGTAACTGAGAGTATTCAGGTTAGATTACTTTTTTATTTTGTTACTCAAATTAGGTTACTGATTACATTGTTTTACAGTTCACTAGGAATACATTTTTAAATCAACCTTCCCAACCCTGCTGTTCTGACTACATGATACATAGAGCAGGAATCACACATACAGTGCAAGGGCAATGCATTTGGCTTTTGATGAACTGGCTATTAGAATGACAATAACAATACAGAGAAAAGTTTAAATGGGCAGGACATACATTACAACATCTAAAATCAAAACAGCAAGGAACATCTTAGACTTGGCATTTGGCCTTGGCTATTTAGAGTCCTGCACTTTAGAAATATTTAAAGCAACCTCAGGTCAAAGAGCAAAAGTGATCTTCAGGTCCCTGAGCTTAGAAGTTCATTCTTGACAGATTAATATGTGTGGCATTTTATCTTTCATAAAGGCCAATTTACAAGCATTTAAGAGCTAAAGAAAAGTGTGGAAATCAGAGGTGGGGAGGATAGAGCAGAATTCAGTGGAACATATTCCTATTGCTTCAACACATAAAATCAGTCAGAAATGTAATGTCCTGTTGACATAATATGATTGGTCTGCACATTGTTAACACATTCAGAGGTTAAGCTCAAGTGTATTGTCTTTGTGGTGAAAATGTGACTTTGACCTGTCCCAGTGTTTCTGTCCGTTTCAGAGTGCCAGCAGCACTGTTTGCAGATGAAGAGGTTATTTTTTACCAAACTCATTCACTCCACTTTAGATTGAAACCAAACACACAGCACTTGTAATTAGACTGAAAATCAACACAAAACGATTCAGCTTTTCCAAATGTCACCGCATTATTGCCACCCAAGTGGATCTGTTGAACTTTTTGTAAAATCACTGCGCGGTATTACAAAAGTAATTCAGTCCGATTCACCGAGGCTCCTCTGCAGGCTGTAAAGGTGTGAAGATGGCAGGAGTCGCTGAAGATGGACATTTGTTGGTAGATATTAATGAAAAAGCAACACCGTCACCATTTAGAAATACATACATTACATCTGTCATGTACTTTTGCTGCTACTGTCGAGGTACAAATAATGCTGGATTTTCATTTTTAACTTGGCTCTTTGTTTTTTTTCCATTAGCAAAAGTTTTGGATATAACTGAATTAATGAAGGTCTTAAAACCCCTGTTTGTCAAAGGGAGGTCGACAGGCATCAGGAGTAGGTAAAGACAAATTAGATTTATTGTCCCCAGGGGGAAATTCATTTTCACAGCACTGTATACAGTATGAACACGATATACATATGATATATAAACAATGACAACACTACAACAATAACACAGACAACAACAGATAGTGACACACATGGCAGTTAAAGTCAGCGAGGCCTGTAAATTAAAGTGGACCTATTATGCTATATTTGAATATATATTGTAGGGCCATACCTATACAAAACATGTCTGTGAAGTTTCTTGCTCAAAATAGCAAACAGATCACCCATTGTAGCCATGCCTCATACCCCTCTATTCCAGCCCTGTTCCAAAAAGGCTGATTCTGTGACCGTAGCTTTAAATGGAACAGCTGCTGCTAGCCACGCCCCTTTGTAGCGTCACGCAAATTTCCCCTGCAAAGAGAGTTTTCTCCCGGGAGAAACTCAGCTAAACGCTGCCGTGATTAAATGCCATATTATGTTCCAAACCACTTCAAGCATTATTTCTGAAACAGTATGGAGCTCAAA